GATGAGGAAGCTGTGGTACATATACACCATGGAATATTACTCAGCCATTAAAAAGAATTCATTTGAATCAGTTCTAATGAGATGGATGAAACTGGAGCCCATTATACAGAGCGAAGTAAGCCAGAAAGATAAAGACCATTACAGTATACTAACACATACATATGGAATTTAGAAAGATGGTAACGATAACCCTATATGCAAAACAGAAAAAGAGACTCAGATGTATAGAACAGACTTGTGGACTCTGTGGGAGAAGGCGAGAGTGGGATGTTTCAAGAGAACAGCATCAAAACATGTATATTATCTAGGGTGAAACAGATCACCAGCCCAGGTTGGATGCATGAGACAAGTGCTCAGGCCTGGTGCCCTGGGAAGACCCAGAGGGATCGGGTGGAGAGGGAGGTGGGAGGGGGGACCGGGACGGGGAATACATGTAAATCCATGGCTAATTCATTTCAATGTATGACAAAAACCACTGCAATGTTGTAAAGTAATTAGCCTCCAACTAATAAAAATAAATGGAAAAAAAATTTAAGCACACAAAAAAATTAAAAAAAAATGTAAAAAAAAAAAAAAGAATTTACAAGTGAGAATAATTTTTTAATGAACCAGAAAAGAGATGAGAATCTGAAGCCCTGGTTCCCCTGGAGACATTCTCCTGTCTTTGGTGAAATTTCACTTTAAGGAAGTTAAAATTGGCCCATGACTTTCTGTCCATGTACTTATGATTGAGACTCTTTGAACCAAAGTGTCCAATTATTCATGGACTGCTCAGATATCTTTGAGCAATATCTCCTGTAAAAAGGTTCTGAAATTATACATGGGCTATAATCATATACTATCTTCAGAACTGATGCAGTTATTTCATGGGAACTTTCCCCATTTTGCCTTACAATTGGGGGGTTCCTTTTAACTGGGCATTGTCAAATTATGCATTTTCGTTTCTAGAAGTCTGCCCTCATTCTGAAAATACTTCAAAAATTTACTACCCACTGAAAGCATCTCAAATCTGATATCCACCCATTGATAGACATTTAGTTTGTTTCTGCTTTGCTGCTGTTAAAAAGAACACTCCTATGAACTTTCATATACACACACACTCATCTTTTGTCCCACAAATGTCCTCATTTATGTTCCCCAGTAGTGGAATTGCTGTATCACAGATTATGTGTGTGTCCAGGTTTAGCTAATATTGTCAGTTTTGTGAAAATAGATGTTCCAATTATATGCCCGCCAAATCTATATGAAATTTCCTTGCTCTAACCATTCTTTATCCTTGGTCATTTTACTAAGTACTTTACATATAATATTTCATTGAATCCTCTCAAATGTCTCACAAGGAGCTTATTATTATTTGCAATTTATGAAAAAGAGAGCTGATTCTTAGAGAGGTTTTATAAATTGTCCAAGATCGCACTTCTTGTTTTGTTATCCTGCTATACTTTGATGAGGACTATGTAGAAGGCTCAAAGAAGTCAGGCAATAGCATGCATATAATGATAATTTCCATGAAATGGGAAAAAAATCTCATGATACAAGGATCAGATTTTGCTGAGAGTAGCTTAACCCAAATTTGGAGCTAGAAGGACAACCAAACCACATCACTCTGGCAAGACACACAACCACTTGGTTGTGTATATTTCATAGGATCTATATTTTATACAGTAAGATTAGTCCTCAAAATCCTGAGTTTTAGTGGGAAGAATAGGGGAGAGCTTGATGGTCCCAGATATCACAATAACGCATAGTACAGAATGAAAGCGGAAGCTTGTATCCCCAGAAGACCTATCACTGTGGTGAAATGCTGCTAGGGCTAAGAAGTAATATAAATCATTCAATTAATAGTCAGCAGATATCTAAAATGATGCTAATATGGGATTTGTGTCTTGCATTCACCCATTAGTTTGGAGTCCTTAGATTTGGGGCAGATGAACCTAAATGATGATAAGAAATGAGATGCTTTCTGAAATGCAAACCAAAGTGAGAACTACTTCATTTTCTCTTCACCATCATGACCTCAGTGTACATGCTGAAAGAATCCCTTTTTCATTTTTATATTAGTGCTCTTTATGTGTATACCTTGTGTTGCAATTTTGCAATTTTGTTCCATTTCCCTTAAAATATTGTAGCAAACTATTGCTACTGCTAAGTCACTTCAGTCCTGTCCGACTCTGTGTGACCCCATAGACGGCAGCCCACCAGGCTCCCCTGTCCCTGGGATTCTCCAGGCAAGAATACTGGAGTGGGTTGCCATTTCCTTCGCCAATGCATGAAGGTGAAAAATGAAAGTGAAGTCGCTCAGTCGTGTCCGACTCTTAGCGACCCCATGGACTGCAGCCTACCAGGCTCCTCTGTCCATGGGATTTTCCAGGCAAAAGTACTGGAGTGGGGTGCCATCGCCTTAGGTCAAATTTGGCCTGCCACTGTTTTTGTACGGCCCACGGGAAAAGATTTTTTTTTATTTTTAAATGGTTGGAAAAAAAAGAAGATTTTATGATGTAAAAACTATATAAAATTCAAATTTCAGTGTCCCTATATTTAGATTTATTTGTACCAACAACACTCATTCTTTTTTAATACATTATAACTATGATTATTTAGTGCTATTATGGGAGAGCTGAATTAGCTGTAATGTAGAATGTATGACCCAGAAAACCTAGAAAATTTTCTATCTGGCCTAATACAGAAACAGTTTCCCAACTCCTGCTCTAGAAGACTGCATATTTCCTGAGGTAGTGATCATATCTCATTGACTCAATCTTCGACTATGCTAAAACCTTTCACTGTGTGGATCATAACAAACCGTGGAAAATTATTAAAGAGATGGAATTACTAGACTGACAGAGTATTAAAAAGCAGAGACATCACTTTGCCAACAAAGGTGCATGTAGTCAAAGCTATGGTTTTTCCAGTAGTCATGTGTGGGTGTGAGAGTTGGAACATAACGAAGGCTGAACACTGAAGAACTGCTGCTTTTGAATTGTGGTGTTAGAGAAGACAAGAGAAAGTCCCTTGGACTACAAGGAGCTCAAACCAATCAATCTTAAAGGAAGTCAACCCTGAATATTCATTGGAAGGACTGATGCTGAAACTGAAGCTCCAATACTTTGGCCACCTGTTGCGAAGAGCCAACTCATTCAAAAAGACCCTGATGTTGGGAAAGATGGAATGCAAAAGAAGAAGGTGACGACAGAGGATGAGATGATTAGATAGCATCACCGACTCAACAGACATGAATTTGAGCAAACTTCAGGAGATTGTGAAGGACAGGGAAGCCTGGTTGCTGCAGTCCATGGGGTTGCAAAGAGTTGGACACAATTTAGCCAGTGAACAACAACAAGTGGCCATATCTAAACACAACTTTGATACCACATAATGCCTATAGCAGTGTCTTCGACAAAGTCAATGTCCACAAAATAATCATATGTAACTTTGAGAAGGCTGAGAATAAAGTTGGTCAAATTAGAGGGGAAATGTGACCTTTGTGACCTTGTAATTGAAGATACTGAAATGAAATTTAAAGATACTTTAGGCAGAGAGTGGTGTCCACAAGTAAAAAAAGCACATTTGTCTGTATCCCACTGTGGACTGTTTGCCTTCACCATTCTCACATCTCACACCTTCATCTCTTCCTCCTTCCTCTGCACACTCAACCAGGAGAGCTCCATCTTGTTTCACTGAGAAGAACAGGTGCCAGTGGAAATCCCTCAGTTTCTGATCACCACTGCCAAAATGCAGATCAACCAAAAACCAATCAATTGACTTAATAATGAGACAAAAAAGAAAAGGAGTCGCTCTTTTAGACTCCGTGAAGAGAGTGAGAAGACCCACTATTATCATATGCTCTGTCTCCTCTCTTGCCTATCCCTTGTTTAAGCATTTCTTCCCCCTTTTACTTTATTTAGGTTTATCCTTAGAAACAAGATGCACTCACAGGCAATGCCAGCTCACAAGATTTACAGAAGATAAGTAGGGGTTTGTGAGGTGTGCAGAGGGGAGTACAAGAACACCTTTAATGGAGACTTGAGAATAACATCTGCACAGCAAACTGACCTATCTTTATAGCACAAAATCCATATTAAAGCTGTATTATCTTTCATTGGCTTATCCAAGAAACTACTTTCCTTAGATTAACTGTCTCTTAATATTGTATTCATTTATCTTCTTGTTTATTTGCTTCTTTATTTCCAAAAGTTCAAAGAAAGGTTTGCTGAATTTTCAGAAATTACAGTTTTAGCTTTTGAAAGGTACCCAATATATACAATTGTTTCCTTACCAAATTATTCATATGCTATGTAGCGGTAGCTGTCTCACATTTTCCTTAAATAATGTCAATCACAAACAACTCAATTATATCTTTATCACAGTAAAAAAAGGAATTTAGTTGATGTTTCTCCTCTCATTTATTTCCATTATTCAGACAGACACTGTACGTCCACATACAACAAGTTGTGCAAAAATCATTTCAATCAGAGTTGATAGCAACATGCTCCTTAGGATAGTGGCTCACACAATAAATGTGACTATATATGGCACATAATATGTTGAGTGTTCAAACATGAAAATGCATTTTGTTCCCAGTGGAAATGAAATGACCTCTTTAAAATGTGGTTGAATAATTCAGTATTCCAAGGTAAAATCCAAGAATGAATCCATAATTTTTCATGTTGCTATCATGCAATAATTTTTCATGTTGCTATCAAAACAATAAATATTTTCCTCAAATACTCTAGGGTCATATGAATGGATACTGGGTGAATAACTGTGGGAAGTTCTATTACAGCACTGCTGAATGTCTCTGAACATCCTGCTGTGACATAAAAACACACCCTCATCCCACACACAATCCAGTCACTAAGCCTCCTACCCAAAGTCACAAGCACATGTTTTTTCATCTCCTTCCTGGTTGCCAAGGCAATGCAGTTATAAGGCTTCATATCTGAGATGGGTAAGAGAACACATAGGCAAAGCTCCTTTCTCTAAGTGATGCTCATGATTCATCAAGTTCCCAGTTTCAATGTTAATCCAAATAATTGCCCTAGTAGTTTCTGCCAAGCTCTCTTCACCTCCTTATTCCTTAGACTGTAAATCATTGGGTTCAGCATGGGTGTCAAAATGGCATAGAAGAGAGAGATCAACTTCTCCTGAAGCACAGAAGGGCTGGAATTGGGCTGGGTGTAAGTGAAAATTGCCATACCATAGCACAGGACAACCACTGTGAGGTGAGAGGTGCAGGTGTGGAAGGCCTTCTTTCTCCCCTCTGTAGACTGGATCTTTAGGATGGTGGAGATGATCCTGATGTAGGACAGGAGAACCAGGCAAAAAGGTGTCATCAGCAAGACAATGCTAGAAACCATTACTGAGATCTCATTGGAAGAGGTGTCCACACAGGCCAGCCTGATCACAGCTAGGATTTCACAGGATATGTGATCAATATACTTGTTTGTGCACATGGGCAACTGAAAGGTGATGGCAGTATGTATGAGAGAGTTGACAGAGCCACTGAGCCAGGATGTGACGGCCAGCCTAGCACAGAGCCCTCCATGCATGATGACCGGGTATCTCAGGGGGTCGCACACAGCCACATAGCGGTCATAGGCCATCACGGCCAGGAGAACAAACTCAGTCCCCCCCCAGGCCCAGGGAGAAGAATAACTGAGCCGCACAGCTCACATAGGGGATCCCTTTATGTTCTGCAAGGAAGTGCGCCAGCATCTGAGGAACGATGCTCGTGGCGTAGGAGACATCCACGAGGGAGAGGTTGCTGAGGAAGAAATACATGGGAGTGTGGAGTCGGCCGTCCAGTCTGATCAGAAGGACAATGAGGACGTTCCCCAGCAGGGTCAGCAGGTAAGCGACTGAGAACAGGATGAAGAGACCCACCTGAGTGTCCCAGTCACTGGACAGGCCAAGGAGAATGAATTCTCTCACCCAAGTCTGGTTATCTGCTCCCATTAAAAGATGTGAGGTTATTAATCTGCAGAGACTCAGAAATAATAGAAGCTGTTGAATCAAAGAACCGTTTTTGTTGTTCAGTTGCTAAGTCATGCCTGACTTTTTGCAACCCCATGGACTGCAACACACCAGGCTTCCCTGCCTTCACTACCTCCCAAAGCTGCTCAAATTCATGTCCACTAATTTGATGATGCTATCTAACCATATCATCCCTCAGATGCACCCTTCTCCTTTTGCCTTCAATATTCAAAGAATCAAAAAAATAATTTTTTATCAATACATACTGTATGAAATTAACCAGCCTTAGTCAGATGTTTCAGATCATTTATGGGTCAAGATGACAGGCTTTATACTGATACATATTATACCTACTCTGTATCAGAGACAGCCCAGTGCTTTTTTAAGAACATGATGTGGTCTCTAGGAGAATCAGTTAAAGTCTGAAGATAACCACAGAGCAATTTTAAGAACTCCATATCTTAACCAGCTTACAACAGATTCTAGGAAATGGAAAGGATGGTAGGTGACAATGATGGATAAAATGATAAACAATGAAGAAAAACTTGGTTGGAAATTTTTTTTTAAACCCTGCATTAGATATGTCAGCTAGACCCATCATGATGAACTGGATAAATCTATTTATAAAAGGAAATATTGGTAATAGAGAGAAACTTACAGAAAGATCTGGAATCAGTGAACCTAGGTTTGAAACCTAATTTTATTTAGCAGCTATGTGATCTCAGTTTAGAGACAAACTTCTATTTATGAAACAGACTTATGCAACTCACAGTACTTTTAAGCTCAAATGAAGGAAACTTATGGAAAAAGTACTTGTGAATTGTTACTGGTTCTATAGTAGTATGATTAGTAATAGTAACATGACCTCTTCCTGAGGGTAAATAAAGAAACAGATGTGACTTTCATCAGATCTCCTCTATAGATTCAGACACAGTTGTTTTAAAAAGTAAAACTGTAGGAAACATTTAATGAATCTTAGAGCTTATCGGGATATTCTGAGAACTTTTTCTTCCTTTGGTGTTTTTACTAGACTCTGGTCTCTTAGCCTTTAAGGAGCTATTGTAGTTGGGCCTTGTTTTATTTTTTCTCTTCAACTCACTATTATTGATAATCTACCATTTTTATATTGGCTCAAAAGAAAACAAGGAAAGTTATGAATGTTTAGACTTTCTCAATATAAGAAAGAAAGGAAAGCATAAGGCTAAGGACCCATTCTTACTGTTTAAGACAGATATGGATTCTTGTAGATACACATTAGAATAGAGTTTCCATTTTGCTTTCTTTTGCTTAGCATCACTTTTTAAGTAGATCTAATGTGTTTTACCAATCCCAAAGAAAGGCAATGCCAGAGATGCTCAAACTACCACACAATTGCACTCATCTCACATGCTAGTAAAGTAATCTTAAAATTCTCCAAGCCAGGCTTCAGCAATACGTGAACTGTGAACTTTCAGATGTTCAAGCTGGTTTTAGAAAAGGCAGAGGAACCAGAGATCAAATTGCCAACACATGCTGGATCATCGAAAAAGCAAGAGAGTTCCAGAAAAACATCTATTTCTGCTTTATTGACTATACCAAAGCCTTTGACTGTGTAGATCACAATTAGCTGTGGAAAATTCTGAAGGAGATGGGAATACAAGACCACCTCACCTGACTCTTAGGAAACCTGTATGCATGTCAGGAAGCAACAGTTAGAACTGGACATTGAACAACAGACTGGTTCCAAATAGGAAAAGGAGTACGACAAGGCTGTATATTGTCACCCTGCTTATTTAACTTATATGCAGAGTACATCATGAGAAATGCTGGGCTGGAGGAAGCACAAGCTGGAATCAAGATTGCTGGGAGAAATATCAATAACCTCAGATATGCAGATGACACCACCCTTATGGCAGAAAGTGAAGAAGAACTAAAAAGCCTCCTGATGAAAGTGAAAGAAGAGAGTGAAAAAGTTGGCTTAAAGCTCAACATTCAGAAAACTAAGATCATGGCATCTGATCCCATCACTTCATGGGAAATAAATGGGGAGACAGTGGAAATAGTGTCTTTATTTTTGGGGACTCCAAAATCACTGCAGATGGTGACTGCAGACATGAAATTAAAAGACGCTTACTTCTTAGAAGGAAAGTGATGATCAACCTAGATAGCATATTAAAAAGCAGAGACATTACTTTGCCAACAAAGGTCCGTCTAGTCAAGGCTATGGTTTTTCCAGTGGTCATCTATTGATGTGAGAGTGGGACTGTGAAGAAAGCTGAGCACCAAAGAATTGATGCTTTTGAACTGTGGTGTTGGAGAAGACTCTTGAGAGTCCCTTGGACTGCAAGGAGATCCAACCAGTCCATCCTAAATGATATCAGTCTTGGGTGTTCATTGGAAGGACTGATGCTGAAGCTGAAACTCCAAATCTTTGGCCACCTCATGTGATGAGTTGACTCATTGGAAAAGACCCTGATGCTGGGAGGGATTTGGGGCAGGAGGAGAAGGGGACGACAGAGGATGAGATGGCTGGATGGCATCACCAACTCGATGGGCATGAGTTTGAGTAAACTCCGGGAGTTGGTGATGGACAGGGAGGCCTGGCGTGCTGCGATTCATGGGGTCGCAGAGTCGGACATGACTGAGAGACTGAACTGAACTGAAATAGATTAAAAATCATGGTATATACACATACAAAAATGTAGTATTGTTCAGCCTTAAAAGGAAAAAGATATTGTCATTTGTAACAACATAGGTGAACCTGGAAAACATTATGCTAAGTGAAATAAGCCAGGTACAGAAAGAGGAAAACTGCATGACCTCAATTATATGTGGAGTCTCAACATCAAAGACAGAAAGTAGAAAGGTGGTTGGTTATCAGGAGCTGGGAGGTGGAGGAAATGGGGTAATGTTGGCCAAATATACAGAGGTGCATAATTTAGGGTGAAAAAGTCTAGAGATCTAGAATGTGATGACTACAGTTATTAATATGACATTCAACATTTGGAATTTGCTAAGAAATTAGATTTTAGGTGCTCATCACAAACAAAGAATTATGTGAGAAAACAATGAGAACAATATATTAATTATCTTGATCATGGTAATCACTTCACTATGTGTGTGTGTGTATATATATATATATATATAATCATGTTATGTATCTTAAATAATACAAATTTTGTTTTAAAAATAAAACTAATAAATCTTATTTATATCCTTTGGGTAATATGTTCATATGTTCAAACTTCAAGTCTTACCTCTCTCTCTCTGTTTTGAGTTTTTTTGTTTACTCAAAAATAAGCAAGCTCTGCTGCCTGCTCAGAACATTGTAGTGAGCAGAGACATACCTCTGTAGTTCCTCTCATTAAACATGAGCACTGTGAAGGAAGGACTTGCTCATGCTTGTGTTTTATGAATTGAAGTGGATGTAGGGTAGTTACTGTGGCCATAACTGATAGAATACACTATGTGATATTACCCGATAGGCGTCATTGAAATAGTGGATGAAAAATCATCTCCTGAAAGCACTGCTACTAATGCCTGAGATCTACTACTTTTATGTTTAGCATTTTCCTTTTTCATGAAATGGTTAAAGATAAAACTAATTAGGAGTTTTAAAATACGAAGTATCTAACCTTGGTGTGAACTAGTATATCAGCTTATGGGCGTGCGTGCTCAGTCGCTTCCATTGTGTCCAACTCTTTGCGACCCCACGGAATGTATCCCACCAGGCTTCTCAGTCCAAAGAATTCTCCAGGCAAGAATATTGGATTGGGTAGCCATTCCCTTTTCCAGAGAATCTTCCCAACCCAGGGTTTGAACCTGGATCTTCCACACTGCAGGCAGATTCTTTACCATCTGAGCCACCAGGGAAGCCCATTAAACAATTTTAATTGTATTTAGTTTCTATTGCTACTATGTGGAATAATACTCCAAAATACTTGATTTTCCTCTGTAAGGAAGGAAGTATCAGGGGCTTGACATGTGGGTACTTTTTCCTTTTCCACATATATTGTCACATTTTATTAACCTGCCCTGATCAGACACATTTAAAACTATCTAACAACACTTTCTACTTGTACTTGCTGACAGTTTCATAAATTATCCAAATAGAAGACCTAAATGTAGAAGCAGAGCACATGAAGGTGGGGCCCACAAACTGAAGATATGTTTTCTTTCATGCTAGTCAGGATAAACGAGAATCATACCTTTTTGCAGTTGAGTTGTCAATAGAAATGGCACTTCAATTTTAAGAAAGAGTCATCTGACCTGTAGGTGAATACTTGGTTGTTGTATACACTAAGTGCATCTATCATGAGCAGAAATATTTGCATCAACCTACTGTTTGGAAACAAAAGATCCCAAGGTCACTTGGATGGTTCAAATATGGTTTAATACCCTGAGAGGGAAACTAGTCTTTCTTCTTCATGGTTTTATTATCTATTTCACATCTGGATTTTTTTGCTGCCTGACATTTTATGTAAACTGAGTCCAAATATTGAGATACTGTCCAATATGTGAAAACCTGAAATTCACCTTTGATGATATATGTTACCATGATTATATTTGTAAATGCTCACTTTCTTTGCATCTCTTGTCCCCTATAGTTAAGACTAGGTTATTCTTTTGTAGTATAATTCCCTAAGCCTGGCAGCTTTCCACAGTATAATCCCTACAGCTCATTCTGTAGCGTCAGGAGACCTCATTTCTAGTGCCACTTCATAGTCTCACTGTTTATGAACATAAGAAACCCATTTAATCATTTTACATTTCAAATTCCTTTCACTGAAAGGAAAATCAAATACTACGAGAAAAAGACACTTTAAAGCTATGTCCAGAGATGTAATATACTCCTATTTGTTCAAGAATATCAACATCTAATAACCATTTAGATCTGGGCTTGTTTAGTAAGTGTTTCCCTGAAAAAAAGATGCAGAATGCATCCATAGGAATTCCAGTCTTTAGTTATTAGTCGTCTCCACTATTCCCCCTCTGTTTCATAT